GTGGGACACTCTTGTGGGACACTCTTGTGGGACACTCTTGTGGGACATTCTTGTGGGACACTCTTGTGGGACACTCTTGTACGAAACTCTTATGGGACACTCTTGTAGGACCCTCTTGTGGGACACTCTTCTCGGACACTCTTGTGGAACACTCTTCTGGGACACTCTTGTAGGACCACTCTTGTGGGACACTCTTGTGGCTGTGGGACACTCTTAGTAGGACACTCTTGTGGGACACTCTTGTGGCACACTAGAAGCAGTCCTGCAAGCGTTTCGTACGAGACTTCCTCCAAAAGTCACGCTTCGAGGCTGCGCAAGACGAGCGTTTCGTTCGAGACCTTCTCCAAAAGTCACGCGTCAAGTCTCCAAAACGAGCGCTTCGTACGAGACTTCCTCCAAAAGTCACACGTCAAGTCTCCAAAACGAGCGTTTCGTACGAGACTTCCTCCAAAAGTCACGTGTCAAGTCTCCAAAACGAGCGTTTCGTACGAGACTTCCTCCAAAACTCACATGTCAAAGTCTGCAAAACGAGGATTTCGTACGAGACTTCCTCCAAAAGTCAAGCGGAAACACCCATCGGAGCACACACATCACGCAGCCCTGCCAAGCAGTTTCGCGAGTCCAGCCCCTCCAAACAATACCCCCTCACACGCCAATCCCAATGTGACAGCGACATTCACCTCTACCACAACTCACGACCTCACGATTCCCTGCGCCTGCCACGAATCTTTCCGCATCCACACGTCTAACGCGCACAAAGTACTGCGCCTGCCACGAAATGTCACCTCCGTCACACCTCGCAACCTCACGATTTCCTGCGCCTGCCACGAAAATCGCACTTCCACACCTCAAAATCAGCACAAAGTACTGTGCCTGCCACGAAAAGTGTGAATATCATCTCACGTGAGCTTCAACAAAATTTGCACCACACCACACGTTTAGAATGATTTCGACCCGTTCTGGGCACACTCCCATCCACCAAAATCGCCATTTCAGCTGAGACTTGTCACGAAAACAGAGCTTCGATGCCACACCCTGAAAAGCAAATCCCAATGGCACGGCCACATCCAACACCCCAAAAACACGACTCTCCAAACGCTAATCCCAATGGAACTGCGCAGTAAACTGCGGATCTCTCAAACCACTGCGCCTGTGCAGCGAATTGCATCACGCTTCTTGCGCGACATGTCATTTTCATGCAAATCACAATGGAATAGCGTCGCAAACTGACACGTGACACATCCATGAAAAGTCACTTGCAAAAGCTTCCCCCAATGGCAGCGCCTTAGCGTCCTACTGCGGACGGTTGCGAACGGTTGCGAACATAGAAGCAACGGGTCGCGAACAAGGCTCTACCCCCAGACCCCCAAGAGTTAAACGAGAACCCTTCGCTACGCATTCGGGAAAAAGGTAAGAAGCCAATTAACACTGACATATTTAAACAATTTTTGCACATATGCTATGTTGCGCATGACTTCAAACACATTCCCACTGAGTCCCACTGTTCATGCACAAACTTCCCTTCCCAAATTGGCAAGATGTTCTTGCTACGTGCAGCCTGTGACAAACAAGATGGAACCCACGAACCCGAATGCAAACACGATCGAAAAAATAATATGTCCAAATGACACTCTTGTAGGACACTCTTGTAGGACACTCTTGTCGGAAACTCTTGTGGGACACTCTTGTAGGACACTCTTGTGGGACACTCTTGTAGCACACTCTTGTGGGACACTCTT